AATAGATCTGATATAAAAGATTAACCATGGCCTGAGGTAGATGCCACTCTTTTTACAGATGGAAGTAGTTTGGTTGAAAAAGGAAAAAGATATGCTGGATATACAATAATAACTATAACTACTGTGTGGGAAATAGAACCACTTCCTCTAAATGCTCCAGCTCAGAGGGCAGAACTGATAGCACTCATTAGAGCTCTGGAGTTATTAGAAGAAAAAATAGTCAACATGTATACAGATTCTAGATATACATTCACTACCTTATATGCATGTGGAGCATTATATAAGGACAAGGGACTACTAAATTCTGTTGGGAGAAATATAACATAGTGAGACCATTTTGAAATTATTAGATGCTGTTTGAGTTCCTGCATCAGTAGCAGTAATGCACTGCAGAGTACATCGATGTGACGAGGAATGTGTGACCTATGGAAACTGGTAGGCTGATACCACAGCAAAGGCCGCGACCCGAAAGGGACGAGGAAAAGAGCTGGTCATAGCCCCTTTGCAGATAAAAGACTGGATACATTATACTAGAATAAGGAAAGCATCACTCAAAGGGACCGTGACTCTTGATCCAAAAGGATTCCTTTGAGACTTTGTATCATCAAACCAGCAGTGCCAGAAGGAGGACTACGGCTCTGGTTTTGACTACATCTGAACGCGGGTTAAATACATCAGACAGAAGAATGAGGAGCACTGTGAAGATGCCAACGTGTATGGAACATTCTTCAATAACTGTGATAAATGATTGTGTTAAATATTATTTTTTTTGCTAAAAATGTAATTGCGTGAGTTTGCGAGTCTACTGTGGAACATCCGCTCGCAAAAAGGGGGGAATGTAGCAGTCAGCGGAAAAGAATAATTATAAAAATATATTTAAAAAATGAATATAGGAAAACTTACCTTGAAATACTAGCGAAGGAGTGTTTGCGGCAGGGAGAAGCGAAATGTTCCATAGACGAAAATAAGGGCTTCAGAGATCAAGAAAGTTAAATATTAACGGGAACATGACATTTGGGAAACAATAATAAAGTGAGATGTTTATCATCAAGGGAATGTTTCTGGCAACCAGACAAGGACGCTTGTGTAGATAATTGATCTGAGGCTGGAAAAGGTCAGAGTAACATCTGGTGGTTCAGTGAGGTAAATAGCAGGTAACTTCAGATATATTGCGAATATGGGAATAATTAAGATTTGAAACAATTATAAGTACGTCAATATAATATGTCATTGTGATGTATGGGAAAAGGTAATGCGAAATACCTCTGTTAATGTTTATATCTGTGTAAATGTCATGGCAATTGTGCGCATGTCTGAACTAGTGAATTTTGCTATAAATATTGTAAGCTGAGTGACTTCTAGTACGCTTCAGATCACACTTCTGAGCGTCCTATCATGATAGTAAATATGCCTGGAATCAAATTTGCAGTCTCCGTCTCCTTCCTGCCTGATTGTGCTCTACATGATCCCGGGTAGCAAATCTGCCGCGACAGTACTACTACTACTACTACTACTACTACTACTACTATTATTTGTAACACAACAAGGTGAGTCCACAGTAGACAAGATCACTCTGCTGGCTGTTGTATTGGACAAATCTCCATAAGGCTCGGAGCTTCCAGACCCAGCTATCATACTATTACCACAAAATTCATTACAAACTTTTACAAAAGTTTTTCTTTCTATGTATAGAGACCACTGTTGGCACAGTGGGTTAAAGCGCTGAGCTGCTGAGCTTGTTGACTGAAAGGTCGCAGGTTCAAATTCGGGGAGCGGCATGAGCTTCCGCTGTCAGCCCCAACTTCTGCCAACCTAGCAGTTTGAAAACATGCAAATGTGAGTAGATCAATAGGTAGTAGGCTTGGGCGGTTTCGTTCGTCAATTTCGTAATTCGTTATTAATTCGTATTTAAATTAGCTTACGATCCAATATTGAGCCATGCGGGAATTGTGTGAGGAGTAATAAAGATTCGAAACAATTTTTTCAATTTATTTCGTAATTTTTTGTAATTATTTCGTAATTATTTTGTAATTATTTTGTAATTATTTTTGCATGTCTGGTGCAAGTTTTATTGTTGTTGTTTGTGTTATCACACCAACAGTCAACAACAGAGGGAGAGGGAAGCTTCAGAAGTTCCCCCTGTCCCATTTGCAGGTTTTTTTAGCATATTGCGCAATCGCGTCCGCCATTAACGAATCGATTCGTAATTATACAACATTTCGTATATTTCGAAATTTTTAAAAGGAAAATTTTGGAATTATTAAAAAAAACGAAACGCAAGGGCCCCCTAAAAATGAAACGAGTTTAGAACCAAATTTTTCCGTGGTTACCCAGGCCTAATAGGTAGAGCTCTGGTGGAAAGGTAACGGCGCTCCATGCAGTCATGCGGCAACAGGCCTGTAGCGAGGGGGTGGTTTTAGGGGTTCAACCCCCCCCCGAAATGTTTCAGATTTTTTTAAAAAAACCTGGTTTACTCATGAATTTTAACTGGTTAACCAAATCCCCATGCTAAGTCTATGAGATGCAAAAAATTAAGAGTCCCTCCAGAACTGCAAGCACTATCTCAAGCAAATATTGACAATTTATTCACACTGTCATTACTTGCAGCAATTGCCGATGTAGTGAAGCAACCAAGTTGTGGGTGTGTGTTGAATGCTCTCATTAAGGAGGCCAGACTTGGTGGAGGTGGTTGACAGGGGCGGAGCTGCAGGCTATTGAAGGCTGCTCTGCCCCCTGCTGTGCTCTTTGCTTCAGCGTGAGCTAGGAGGCAGGTTTCAACCCCCCCCCCCAAATTTTCAACTCCCCAAAATTTTCAAAACCCCCCCCCCGAAATTTTCACCCCCCCCCCAAATTTTCAACCCTCCTCGAAATTTTTTTCTGGCTACGGCCCTGTGCGACAACATGACCTTGGAGGTGTCTACGGACAATGCCATCTTATCGGCTGAGAAATGGAGATGAGCAGCAAGGGAAAACCTATAGAGACGTTGAGGAAACCTTGGACCTTTGATTGATTGGTTGGACTAAGGTCCCCTCCCACTTCCAGCCAGAACTCTCTCCAATGGGACTAAGCAGTGGGGCGGGGCATGGGCAAACTTTGGCCCTCCAGGGGTTTGGGACTTCAACTCCCACCATTCCTAACAGCCTACCGGCTGTTAGGAATGGTGGGAGTTGAAGTCCCAAACCCCTGGAGGGCCAAAGTTTGCTTCCACCTAGGCTATCCCTTTCGGAAGGTGCCTGGGCTGCTTCCTTGCAGCAAAGGGGAGGAGAGGTGGGGCGGGGAGGCGTGGGGCGTGGGCTGGGAGGCTTGGCGTCAGGTATGGGCTTCGGCGGGACCTTTCCGGAGCGCCTCCACCGCTAGGAAAGCCTCCTTCTCCCCCCAAGCAGGAAAGATCGGGCAAGGAGGAGGAAGCAAGAGCACCGGGCTGGCGCTTTCTCTCTCTGTGTCTCTTTCTCTCCTCCACTTCCGTCCACCTTCCACCTCTTCCTCCTCCTTTCCTTCCTTCCTCCCTCCTGGCACCTCCAAACCTGTTCCTCCGGTCCTGGGTCTTCTCCCTTTCCTCTCTTTCTTCAGCTACCCGCCCACCGCTTATCCTTCGGGCAGCGGGGACTCCAGGGACAGCCTTTCCACTCGGATATGTTACACTCACAACAATAACAACAACAACAACAATAAGGACAACGGAGAAGCACAACAAGAGCCTTTTGCGCGCTTTGGAATGGCAGCGCGGGGAAGGGAGAGGGAGCCCTAGGCGAGGGAGCCCCCTTTTGTGCGCGGAGGGGAACTGAACAAGCACCACTCTGGAAGCAGAGAGAAGAAGAAGAGGAGGAGGAGGAGGAGGAGGAAGGCTTTTTCTCCTCACCTTCAGGGACAGCGAAGTGCCCTCCAGGTAAGGAAACCAATGGCTGAAGGTGGGAGGGAGGCAAGAGCAAGCATCTGCACTGTAAGATTGCTGCAGTTTGATACCGCTTGTGCTCAAAATGCGATGGACTCATAGTCGTTGTTATTCACACTACTAGGCAAAGGGATCTGGCATTCCACATATATCTGTGGAATGTCCAGGGAGGGAGAAAGAACTCTTGTCTATTTGAGATAGGTGTGAATGTTGTAATTGGCCACCTTGATTAGCATTTAACAGCCTCGCAGTTTCAAGGTCTCGCTTCTTACTGCCCGGGGGAATCCTTTGTTGGGAGGTGATAAGCTGGTCTATATTGTTTCTTGTCTGGAATACGCCAGTTTTTGAGTGTTGTTCTTTATTTACCACTTTGGACTTCAACTCCCAGCATTCCTAACAGCCTCAATTAGTACACAAACTAACTTACTAACTTACTCAGTTAGTACACAAACTTCTTATTATAAGCTTTCCTAAACTCGGGGTGCGTCTACTCTGTAGAATTGATGCGGTTCGACACTGCTTGAACTGCTATCATTTATTTACTGCTGGGGAAAGTGGAAGGTAAAAGGAAGAGGGGCCGACCAAGGGCAAGATGGATGGATGGCATCCTTGAAGTGACTGGACTGACCTTGAAGGAGCTGGGGGTGGTGACGGCTGACAGGGAGCTCTGGCGTGGGCTGGTCCGTGAGGTCATGAAGAGTCGGAGACGACTGAACGAATGAACAACATGGCTCAATGCAAATGCAAGTTTTACAAGGTCTCATCCTCTTGCAAAGACTGCTGATGCTTCACCAAACTCTCATTCCTTTGGGTTGCTGTGAGTTTTCCAGCCTGTATGTCCATGTTCCAGAAGCATTCTCTCCTGACGTTACGCCTGCCACATGGTATCTTATTTATTAACTTATTTATTTACGACATTTATATGCCACCCTTCTCACCCCGAATATTATTATTCTATTATGTATACAATTTATATATTATGTATACAATAATAATATTGTATATTGGAGCTCCCGGTGGTGCAGCAGGTTAAAGCCCTGTGTTGGTAGGACTGAAGACCGACAGGTCTAAGACCGACAGGTCGCAGGTTCGAATCCGGGGAGAGGCGGATGAGCTCCCTCTATCAGCTCCAGCTCCTCATGCGGGGACATGAGAGAAGCCTCCCACAAGGATGATAAAAACATCAAAATCATCCGGGCGTCCCCTGGGTAACGTCCTTGCAGACGGCCAATTCTCTCACAACAGGACACTCCTGACACGACAAAAAAAATTTATATTATTGGTGTGCATAGTAACATTTAATACTGATATTGTAGTATGCTAATAATATATTGTATGTATACAATATAATATTATTGTATTATGTATACAATATACATATTATGTATACAATAATAATATTGTATTTTATTGGTGTGCATAGTAACATTTAATACTGATATTGTAGTATGCTAATAATATATTGTATGTATACAATATATTATTATTGTATTATGTATACAATATAGATATTATGTATACAATAATAATATTGTGTATTATTGGTGTGCATAGTAACATTTAATACTGATATTGTACTATGTTAATAATATATTGTATGTATACAATGTAATATTATTATTGTATTATGTATACAATGTACATAATATGTATACAATAATAATATATTGTATACATACAATATATTATTAGCATAGTACAATATCAGTATTAAATGTTACTATATTGTACTATACCATTATATTGTAATATTATTAGTAATATTACATGTATTATAAATATATATTTATAATATATTATTATTAGTATTATGTTGCATTACATTATAATATTATAAATATTATATGTATATACAATATATTACATTAAATTATATTATATTACATTATATTATATTATTACCATAGCACAGGAGACAAGGTGGAACTGTCCGTCCCCCCCCCGTCCCCCCGCTCTTCACTCTGGCCCAGAGCAACAGTTGGTACCTTTGCACACCAATGCCCATTGGAATCAAAGGAATGAAAATGTATTGTCGAAGGATTTCATGGCCGGAATCACTGGGTTATTGTGAGTTTTCTGGGCTGTATGTCCATGTTCCAGAAGCATTCTCTCCTGACATTTCGCCTGCCTCACAGTTTTGCTTAAGCGGCTGAGGGGGGCTGAGGGAGGAAAGGAAAGGGCCTGAGGCTGTTAGCAATGCTGGAAGTTGAAGTCCAAAACACCTGGAGGCCCCAAGTTGGCCCACAACTGTTTTAGATACACCCTATGTCCGCTCTGTGTTACTGGCTCGGAGGTAAGAAATCTGGATCTCTGTTCACAGAGCGCACATGTTCCTCTTCACTCAATGCACCTTAGGGACCCTGGCTTGCTTCCCCCAACGTTCCACATTTTTTTGCCTGATCGTAAAACTGTACTCGTTTAGATTTCAGCAATCTTAGGTACAACTGTCTGCCTAAATATCCTAAAGGCACCAGATCCTGTCTGATCTCGGAAGCTGAGCAGACTTGGGGTGCATCCAAACTGTAGAATGAATGCCGTTTGACACAACTTTAACTACCATGGCTCCGTGCTTCGAATCCTGGAATTTGTAGCTTGGTGAGAAACTAGCACTTTTTGGAGGGTAAGACTTCGTACAAATACAATTCTCACGATTCCGCCACGGTGGTGTCAAACTGCATTCAGTGTGTTGTCGAAGGTTTTCATAGCCAGAATCACTGGGTTGCAGAGAGTTTTCCAGGCTGTATAGCCATGTTCTGGAAGCATTTTCTCCTGACGTTTTGCCAGCATCTATGGCAGGCATGCTCTGAGGTTGAAGGATCTGTTGGAAATTAGGCAAGTGGGGTTTATATATCTGTGGAAAGTCCAGGGTGGTAGAAGGCAAGTTTGAGGCAAGTTTGAATGTAGCAATTGGCCACTTTGATTAGCATTGAATGGCCTTGCAGTTTCAAAGGTTGACTGGTTGCTATCTGGGGGGATCCTTATTTGGTAGGTGTTAGCTGGCCTTGATTGATTATTATCTGGAATTCCCCTGCTTTTTGAGTGCTGTTCTTTATTTACTGTCTTGATTTTAAAGTTTTTTAATGTTGGTAGCCAGATTTTGTTCATTTTCATGGTTTCCTCCTTTCTGTTGAAATTGTTCACATAGAATCATAGAGTTGGAAGAGACCTCATGGGCCATCCAGTCCCAACCCCTGCCGAGAAGCAGGAAAATTGCATTCAAAGCACCCCCGACAGATGGCCATCCAGCCTCTGTTTAAAAGCTTCCGAAGAAGGCGCCTCCACCACACTCTGGGTAGTTTGTGGATTTCAGTGGCATCTCTGTGTAGTCTGACATGGTGGTTGTTAAAGTGGTCCAACATTTCTGTGTCGTCAAATAATATGCTGTGTCCAGGTAGGTTCATCAAGTGTTCTGCTATGGCTGACTTCTCTGGTTGAATCAGCCTGCAGTGCCTTTCATGTTCCTTGATTCGTGTTTGGGTGATGCTGCGTTTGGTGGTCCCTATGTAGACTTGTCCACAGCTGCATGGTATCCGGTAGAGTCCTGCATAGGTGAGAGGATACCTCTTGTCCTTTGCTGAACGTAGCATTTGTTGGATTTTCTTAGTGGGTCTGTAGATAGTTTGTAGGCTGTGTTTTTTCATCAGCTTCCCTATGCGGTTTACTTGATGTATGGTAAGAACACTTTACCTCTGGGTGGATCTTTGTCTTTACTCTTCTGGCTTGTTCTTTTCCTTGGAGCTCTTCTGATGTCTGTGGTGGAGTCTCCATTGACTTGTAGAATCCCGTTTAGGTGGTTCACTTCACCTTGGAGGAGGTGGGGTGTGCAGATTCTTTTTGCACAGTCTGCCAGGGCTTTAATTGTGTTTCTTTTTTGGCTTGGGTGACGGTTGGAGTTTTAATGTAGGTATCTATCTGTGTGTGTAGGATTTCTGTAAACTGTGTGGCCCAATTGTTGATTGGGAATGCGGATGACTAGGAGCCCCCAGTGGCACAGCAGATTAAACCCGTGAGCTGCTGAACTTGCTGACCGAAAAGTCAGTGGTTTGAATCAGAGGAGCAGGATGAGCTCCTGCTGTTAGCCCCAGCTTTTGCCAACCTAGCAGTTCAAAACATTCAAATGTGAGTAGATCAATTGGTACCATTCCGATGGGAAGGTAACAGTGTTCCATGCAGTCATGCTGTCCACATGACCTTGGAGGTGTCTACGGACAATGCCGGCTCTTTGGCTTAGAAATGGAGATAAGCACCACATCACAGAGTCGGGCATGACTGGACTTAATGTCAAGGGGAAAACCTTTACCTTTATCTAGGACATCTAGAAATGGCAGTTTTCCTTCACTTTCTTTTTCCATGGTGAATTGGATGTTTGGTTAGATGCTGTTGAGGTGGTTCAGGAATTTGTTGAGTTTTTATAGAATCATAGAATCAAAGAGTTGGAAGAGACCTCGTGGGCCATCCAGTCCAATCCCCTGCCAAGAAGCAGGAATATTGCTTTCAAAGCACCCCTGACAGATGGCCATCCAGCCTCTATTTAAAAGCTTCCAAAGAAGGAGCCTCCACCACTCCGGGGCAGAGAGTTCCACTGCTGAATGGCTCTCATAGTGAGGAAGTTCTTCCTCATGTTCAGATGGAATCTCCTTTCTTGTAGTTTGAAGCCATTGTTCCTTGTCCTAATCTCCAGGGAAGCAGAAAACAAGCTTGCTCCCTCCTCCCTGTGGCTTCCTCTCACATATTTATACATGGCTATCATATCTCCTCTCATCCTTCTCTTCTTCAGGCTAAACATGCCCAGCTCCTTAAGCTGCTCCTCATAGGGCCTGTTTTCCAGACACTTGATCATTTTAGTTGCCCTCCTCTGGACACATTCCAGCTTGTCAATATCTCTCTTGAATTGTGGTGCCCAGAATTGGACACAATATTCCAGTATTCTTCTCCGTGTCCCAAATGTTGAAGGTGTCATCCACATATCTGAACCATTTAGTGGGCTTTTTGTT